AAATAGAATGAAAGAGACTGTCCCACTAAAAATTAATTATCAGTCCCTAATTGAAAAATGACACGTGTAGAGCTAACTATTTTTCTGTACACTTTTTCATTTGCTACGCTCGTGCAGGGAAGTAGTTCCACTTTCTTTGCCACGTCACATTTAAGGGCGTATAAAATTCAATTGAAATTAAATTAGAGGGGTAAATAATTACCCGTAAAGTTAAAGTGCCAAAGTAAGTTTCGCTGCCAAGTTCAGGGGGGATTTTATGTATTTTCTCTATTTTAAAGGTATATATGTGTCCACGTGAACATAAAAAATATTGCATCATTTTAAATAGTAATGTGTCCACGTGGGCACATATATACTTTTAAAATACACTATTAAAAAGTGTAGGGGGTAAAAGGTCCTCTATAAAGTTTGGTATCGTAACAGCAATTTCGGCCAAAGTTGGAGTAGTTTTCAGACCCTTTTCCCTAGATAATTGTATTTTGGTTGGACTAAAGAAATATTTGGAGCCAAGTTAATTATATGTTTGTATGAATACTTTACCAGGAAAAAAAATATCTAAAACCCCAAAAAAATCTAAGGTTTATTAGTTTGATTTGATTTAAAAATTCAAATTTCGACACAAATGGTTTGGTTTGGTATTTGGAAAACCCGAACCAACCCGAAATTGAAAAACTCAAAAAAATCTGAGTTTTATTAGTTTTATTTGGTTTATAAAATTAAAAATTTGTCACAAATAATTTGATTTGATATTAAATAATTTGATTTGATATTTGAAAAATTCAAACTAACTCGATCATGTACACCCTATCTTTAACCAAAAGATCCCTTAAAGTATTAAGTAAATCTATATCTTTTAGACAAATATACAAAAAACACCTAGCATTTTTTGTTTATTTCTAAAATTTAAATTATAATCTCCCAAGTAGGGGTGTTCACGGTTTGGTTTGGGTCGGTTATTGGTCAAAACCAAAACCAAACCAACTTAATCGGTTTTAAAATTATCAAAACCAAACCAAACCAAATATAATATACATATATCAGTTTAGTTGTTTTCGGTTTTGGTTTGGTTTGGTTCGGTTATTAACCATACATAAAAATAAAAGAAACAATTCATTCAAAACGTGAAAAAAGTGACAACAATCCATTCAAACAAAAAAAATAGTTAGAATGACTGGCATTACAAAACTTTCGATCATTAAATTTACTGAATAAAACTTCAAAATTCACTATTTTGGCATAAAAGGAAGAGACAATGACATTTTCAGATCCACAAAGAATTTCCATAGACGCTCATATACATGAAACCAATAAAAAAAATGTTCTCACCTTGGACATTTTTTCTTTCATAAGTAAATTATAAATAAATTTTGATGAAACATATATAAAATCTTTAAAATTGTTTATGAATATAATATATTATGTATGTATAATAATAAAATTTATGTATATAACTTGTTGGTTCGGTTTGTTTATTTCTTCGATTTTTTTCGAACAAAACCATAACCAAACCAAATACTATCGGTTCTTAACAACCTAAAACCAAACCAAACCAAAACCCAAATTAAATCGGTTCATTTAATCGGTTTGATTTGATTTTTCGATTTGGATCGGTTTTTATCCAAACCATGAACACCCCTACTCCCAAGCATACATCAATTCTAATTTCATTATATTTTGCACACCCTGGGGTGAAAATCATTAAAATTAGGGAAAAGGGTAAAAAAATGCCCTTAAACTATGTGAAAGAAATAAAAATATCCTCCGTTTATAATTTGACTCAAAATGCCCTTACCGTCAATACTTTGATTCAAAAATGCCATTGCAGTCAATATTTTGGTCCATAAATAACCCTATTGTAACAAAATGGGTCCAAAATGTCGTTTTCCAAATAAATATATATATTTTTTCTTTTTCAACACATCTTCTTCCTAATTAAAAAATTATTAAAGAACACTATTCTTGTTTTCTTTCTTCTAAAATCACTTTAACAAATAAAAATGTAGGAAATATTTTTTTCTTCTTAATCTCATTTTATCAATTAAAATAGAGTAACTGCATGTATCATTTCGACAGATAATATAGTCATATATATAAGGTCATAGTATATCCATCATAATTTATATTTTATATAACGATAAAAATAATGATAATAAAAGAAGAAATATTTTTATTTTTTATTTTTTTCTGAATTGAAGTAAGATAAATATTTGCTAATTTTAAAAAATATTATTAGAAAAAGAATGTGTTAAAAAGAAAGTAGATAATATATTTATTTGGAAAATGACCATTTTTGACTCATTAAATAACAATAAGGGCATTTTTGGAGCAAACTATAAACGGAGGATTTTTTTTTGATCCTTTCGCATAGTTTAAGGGCATTTTTTGAACCAAAATATTGACGTAAAGACATTTTTTAGTCAAACTATAAACAGAAGACATTTTTGTTCATTTCACATAGTCTAATGGCATTTTTGACCCTTTCCCCTTTAAATTATAGTGAGTTAAATATAATTTATCTCTCCTTAATGAAAGATTTCACGTTTAAACGTGTAAAACACATCCGAATAGACATAGCTTCCCGCTTTAATAAATTTTATACGATGCAAATTAAAATTGGATGAGACATCATACAAATATCAAACATTGCATCTTGTATCTTTGGAAATCAATAAAATAACAAAGAAAACATTTACACATAATGCTCACAAAACTGCTAGATATGGTAGTAAAATTAATTGAAATTTTGTCAAAAGAAAAGGACTAATCAGTTACTCTAACCAAGTGATGAAAAGTTGGAATAACAAAAGTATTTAATTATTGACCAGTCAATAAATTAATTGTCTCTCCCACTATGGAAAAATATTTACAACAAGCCAAAAAGCTCCTCGAATACATGTTTATTCAATTTAATTTAAAATGCACCCTGATTCAATTTCCAAACACTACATTAGCAATAATAAAAGTTTTTATTTTATTATTAAGATTATATATGGAATTAAAATTATTTACCCCATCAATATTCATGAAGTAGCAATAATTATCTTATTTCCTTTTTGAGAGAAGTATTGCAAAAAAAATTCATTAACTTGACTCAAATTATTAGTTTCGTCCCTTAACTATTTACAGTTTTAAAAACACACTTTTACTTGACTAACTAAACTTAGATACACCATCGATTTGTAACTAGGGGTGTTCACGGTTCGGATAAAAACCGATCCAAACCAAACCAAACCGATAAAATAAAACCGATTTTATTTGGGTTTGGTTTGGTTTGGTTTGGTTTTAGATTTTTGAAAACCGATTGTATTTGGTTTGGTTATGATTTTATTCCAAAAAAACCGAAGAAATAACCGAACCGAACTGATGAATTATATACATATATTTTATTAATATACATACTTAATATATTGTTTTTATAAACAATTTTAAAGATCTTATACATATTTTCATTAAAATTTCTTTATAATTTACTTATTGAAAGCAAATATGCCCAAGATGAAACATTTATCTTATTGATTTCATGTATATGAGGGTCTATGACAATTCTTTGTTGGACTGAAAATGTTATTGTCTCTTTCTTTTAGGCCAATATAGTGAATTTTAAAGCTTTATTGTTAGTAAATTTAGTGATTGAAAATTCAGTAATTTAAGTCATTCTAACTATTTTTCGTTTTGAATGGATTGTTGTCAATTTTTTCATATTTTAAATGAATTGTTTTCTTTATTTTTGTGTATGGTTAATAACCGAATAACCGAACCAAACCAAACCGAAACCGATAATCACCAAACCGATAAATGTATATTATATTTGGTTTGGTTTGGTTTGGTTTTGATAATTTTAAAACTGATTAAGTTGGTTTGGTTTTGGTTTTGACCAATAACCGATCCAAACCAACCCGTGAACACCCCTATCTATAACATAACATAACAAGTGGTCACAAACTATTTTAGGAGCATGTGGCTCTTAATAAAAACTGAAGTGGTGAAAACATTCCTAAACTTGACGACAATTTAGGAGTATATTTCACTCATGTTGCAAGATCGGAATTATTTAAGTTCAGTTAATCAAGTAAATATGTGTTTTTAAGACTGTCAATATTTTAATAATGAAACTAATGATTCACGCAGAATTCATGAGCATTTTCAATACTTTCCTCTTATTTTTTTCCTAATAATAAAATAAATTCACCCACATGTTTTCCCCCCCAAAAAAAAACACCAATACACTAAGGAACTAATAATTAAAAAATAGACCAAAAAAATTAGCAAAAATAAATAAATAAATAAGGAAACGCTTATTGTTCTTCCTAAAATAGGACGTTATTTCTCAAACATTAATGGAACCAATTATAGTAACCAAACAAATTAGTAAAAAAAATTAAATTCCAATATAAAAGTTGAAAAATGAAAAAGGAAGCAAATACTAGAAACATAGAAAGTTTTAACCTTGATATAGAAATTTTTTAATAATGAACCTTTCTTTGAATGAGTCATACCCGGTGAATTCAAATTAGTCAGACTTTAACTAGATTCCAACCTCAAATAAAATAAAAATATTTTTTTTTTTGAGAGAAATACAAATACAAGTAAAAATAGAAAAATAATTACTATCAAACTTAGTTTAGAAAATTAATTAAATAATTTAGTTAATATAAAAAAAGAAAAGAAAAAAAAAAGTAGTATTATATTATGGTCCCATAGAGAGTCCACGCGGACACTTTATATGGTTCTTGAAATCGTCATTCTACACCCCAAATTCTCCACTTTCTTTGGGGAAGAATAGAGTTCTACTCCTTTAACACTTGTGTTGAGAGTAAGAGATTTTATCAGTTTTATTCAAATCTAATTTTATTTTTTTTTGAAAAAAACACTTTCATGAGGAGTTAATAGGAGACAGAAAGGAATTATATGTCGTTTGTGATCACAGGTGTAACTGATCTGGCGTAGAGCTTCTGAAAAGCTTTGCCTTTTTTTTTTTTTTTTCTCATTCACTGTTGTGTTTTTGTTTTCTTGGTTCAATTTTGTAGGCAAGAAAAGTGTCTCTTACCTTCTTCCATGATTTTTTAGACCAAAAAGGTATGATCTTGATCTTTCAATTTGTATTTTATAACATATATCTATGCATGTGATGTATGGTGTTTGTACAAATTCTTGTTTATATATGATTTACATGATTTTGTTTGTACATTTTTCAAAAGGAAAAGATTTACATGATTTGTTTCTTGTATTAGTACTTGTGAGACATGGGGTTTAAAGGGTTTTTTTGTTGTGTTTACAGGAAGACTTGTTTTGGAGTTGAGTGCTTTGAGGCTTTTCATGTGAAAAGGTTCTGTTTTTCTAATTTGGCTGTAGAATTTCTGGGGTTTTCTTGGGACTGACGATTTTACCAGAAATTTAATTCTTGGTGTTGGTGGAAGGTGAAAGGGTTTAGGGTTTATCTATTTTTGCCCCAAAATTGTTAAAGATATGAAGTTGGAAAAGGATGTTAAAAGGGAGAGGGTGATGGATGGTGGCATTAGTTCAGTGAGGAAAGTTCGAATCATCTATGATGATCCTGATGCTACGGACTCTGAGAACGATGATGATCGTTTTGATAAAAATGTCAGTAGAATCAAGCGTGTTGTTAAGGAAATTGTTATTCCTGTTGTTTCATGGGAGAAGGAGTTTAAAAAATGTTCTAAACTTGATGACATTGGGATTAAAGATTCCAAGAAGATTCATGAAAATAAGAAGGTGCAGCTAAAATCGTCCGCTTTGCCTAAAGGAATTAGGATGAGGAAATGGGGGAAATATGCAGCGGAGATCAGAGATCCCTCGCAGGGGAAAAGAATATGGTTAGGGACTTTTGAGACTGTGGAGGCGGCTTCACAAGCATACGAGGCAAAGAGGGCTGAATTTGATAGAATAATTTCGTTGGGAAAGGGTAAGAATTTGAGCTCTGTTGGAGCTGCTCCTCCTGCTGAGTGTTCTGTGGCTTGTTCATCTCATCCGATAAATGGGAAAAATCGTGTGTACTCACACCCATCCCCGTCTTCGGTGCTAGATGTTCCCACATCATCAGCTGCTGCCCCGCTTGAGTCCAATGACAATCCAACGAGAGATATGGCTCAAATGCCAGATTCAGGTTGTGAAGATTTTAATTTGAGTTTTGAGGATCAAATGCTTCATGAATTTATTAACCAGGGCATTTCAGAATTGATCGAACATCCTTTGATAGAACAAGGGTCCATTAGCAATAGCCTTGTGGAGATGACTCAAGTGAATATCAAGAAGAAAACGATAGCCAGACCACCAAGTTGTAAAAAATTAACAAAGGGGATTGAGGACCACCGCAATGACAAGTCCATTTTCAGTGTATTAGATAAGCCTCCAATCATGTCTCCTTGTATTCGTACAGAGCTGCTTAACTTGAACATCGAGGAAACAGCAGTTATGGGGAATAACTTGAAACTTCTAGGCTTTGATGACAATGCTTTATTTGATAAAGATTTAGCACAAACGTTTGATCCATATACAGATGCTATAGCCTTGGACAGCACTTTTCAATGCTGTGATGGTTGGAATGAGTGTGTTTATTGCAAAGTTTTCACAGATGAAGTTGATCTAGATGAAGTTGACCTAAGATGGTTAGAAAATGTTTTGTTATAAGATCAAATCAGCAAGTTGAAGAGTGTTGTAAAGTCGAAAATGTGGGCAATGAAGGGGGTGGTTCTTGGGATTTTTCGCCAAGATGTTCCCAATGAGGTTTAAAAAGGGAAGAGGAAATTCTATTCATGTTGTTAGCTATTGCTAATTATCAATATATTTGAGCAATTGTGTAATGCTTAGATATGGTTACATTATGCACATATTTTCTTGATTTCATGTGGAGAATCTGAAAGGTGAAAGGTAGAGACCCTTCTTTTGCTTTTTCTTTTGTCTTTCATTAAGGGACTCACCTTTTCATGTTTTCCAGAGAAGAAAAATAAAATCGACCCGAATATGTGTTTTTGTATGCGATAGATGATCTTTTGCTTTCGTTCAAGTTGTGGGTGGTTCAAATTGTGGCACGACCTGAACTTATTTACTTTGATGCTATGAAATATTTTCTGAAAATGATGGATATCTACCATTTTATTAGCCAAGTAGAATAGAAATATCAAAAGAGGTAAATAATTACTTAGCTTAGTGGAACATGACACAGAAGGTCGTATTACTCGTTAGTCAATTTTTGAAATTTTAACTGAAAATTCATAAATAATTTCAGATACGTCCAATTTATTAAAACAAATTTTCAGAAAAGCACAAAATTAGCAGCTTTTTAAGGTATGACAAGGTCAAATGTAGAAGATGTTTTAAATTAGCAGTTGACTAGATATTTGAACGTCTCTCCTTATAAGGTTGCAACTTACCATGTTTCTTCACAAGTTACAATGAACAGTGCATTCTTTTGTTGGAAACAAACCGAAACAGTTTTCTTCAGATGAATCCAGCAAAACTATAATTCAGATGGTTTTATTATATTTAATAAAACATTTATTTATAATTAATAAATCACTAAGATGAAGAGGACAGACAAAAAAAAATGAAATGGATAGTCTTTTCAATCCCTTTAATGTATCTTCGCGAGTTTCCGTTCCTTCCCATATTCCTCCTTGTACACTTCTGTTCCTTTTGTTTGCGCAAGATTCTTCTATGCACCGATGAATCTGCTTTTATCCAATGAAGCAGTATGTCATGCATGATGGACCTTCCGAATTGTATTTCAACTTTTAACTCAAATCGAAAGGAATAGTCAAGTCTCACTCCCTTCATCAGCGAAAGCCAGTTCACACACTAGAGAAAGATGGTCACTTCCCCATTTCTGCAGAAACAAAAAAATTGAATAAAGTTCTTCTGCTTTGTGATGCATAAGAAGTTGATCTTAGCCCAGCAAACTTTACGCACTGAGATTGCGCCTTTTGAAAGTTAATCGTCTCTTAGCTTTCATCAACAATATTATATTCTCTACAGAAATAACTCACGAGGCACTTATATGTTTTTCCTAAGTAGTCCTTGAATCAAATAGCTAGCTATTACATTACCTCACTAGGAAGCCCTCTTGTTCTCCTTAAAATATCAACAGGTAAGGTATCAAGAACTCGTACTGGAACAAACTCTGTTGTGTGCCTGCATCACCTCACAATGTTTAAAAAGGAAACTACCATTGACGCATGGTTGTAATACTCAATTTCAGGCAAATGCACAGCTCCTCTTAAGTAAAATGTACCATATATAGTCAACAGTTCCCATAAATTTGGAATGATATGATGTTGCCAAGGGTTCTCCAGAGTTTTCCCTGGTTCTAGAGCTTCCCTAAAAATTTAAATACAAAGACTTATAAAAGCAACACAACATAGAACTGAAGTTCTATAAACTGAAACCTGTTTTACATGAACGAAGTAATAAGCAGGTAAGAAATTTTGAGAAAGAAACATATTAACCCCATGGGATTATCTATCTCACCTTCTATGTGGGATATCCGGGATTATTATACTTATCCCACCAACCAAACGACCCTTAAGCATACGAAGTTCAATCTTAAGCTCATAAAATTTCTACACATAATTCTAAAGAAAACTGCTAAAATTGAGTGCAGAAATACTACTAGGAAAAGGACAACAGAAGGAAGCCAGAGCAGGGGGAAAAAGTGTTCTTGCCTCCCTCCACCCCCCACCCCCCAAAGAAAAAGAAAAAGTACAGTGAAGGAATAAAAATATTTTGATCTTTTTAGTTTAACGCTTTAGAGATATAATTAACAGAAATAATTCATGTTTGTGTAAGCTTAAAATAGTTCCTCAAAAAAATATATTTGATTAGTTTTGATTCCTTAAATTTATCATAAGTGAGCATTTTTTCGACGAGAGAGAGTTGTCGGATGGTAAACACCCCTCACTTCCAACCCAAAGGTTGTGAGTTCGAGTCACCAAGGGAGCAAAAAGGGGTGGGAGATCCTAGGGAGGGTTAAAAAAAAAAAATTAAAAAAAAAAAGAAAAAGAGGGGGACAAAAAACAAAAGAGAACAAAGAATAAGAAGGAAAAAGGAAGAAAGAGATAGTGAAGAATAAGACGGTAAAGGAAACTATCCCCACTCTTTTCATGCTCTTCTTTTTTCTGACTTTCTTCTCTATTTGCTCTAGTTTTGCCATTTTCCCTCTCCCCTTTTCCCTTATAATGATTTCCATTTTTTCTCTCCTAACCTTTCTTTACTTTTACTTCCAAGGGGAAATATACCCTTCCTGCTCTAAATTTTAACAGTTCCGGATTGAGAATTAACAAAGTGGCCAAGGGAAACAACAGTTTAGGTGCAACCCTTTTTGAAAATAAAATAAAATTTTAATTGACGTCAAAGTATGTTGGTGTTCCCTGAATTCAACAACTGAAGATAAATCTTTCACATTATCAACTACACAATGGCAGAGATCCATTAAAACAATTAGAAAGCGATGAAATTTGGAAAGAAGAAAGCATACAGGAGCTCCAGCATAGGCACTGCGAAGTTGTAACTGATGTATCAAGTGACTAGCTCCTGTTCCAGTAGCAAGCATTAGCTCTTCATTACTCCATCTATAACTTAATCTGTTCAAGGATTATAGGATTTCATGCATGTGCAGTTACTATTTGTTACTTAGCCACTTAATGTTAAAGTTAGAACTATTTGATACTTAAAATTGGCAAAGCAAAAATTAGGTGCCCAGAAATAATACAACACACATAAAAGGAACCTCAGGTTGAAGCTTCTATTTTGCAATGGATAAATTTGGCCAGAGATTTGCTTTCGGTCATGCATTTGGATGTCCAACTGTGCCAAATGCCACGTGATTTAGAAATTGCAAAAACTTAAAAAATTTGCAAGTTTTTTAAGGTAGCTATCTCACCTTATTTGAAGTCAAAAACTGATACATTGCACTCTGAGCAGCAACAAATAGAAAATTAGATCTGCAAGCTTCAAAATATAGCATTTCCAACTTTCCAGAATAGGTAAATTACCTGAGGCATACTATTTAGATCTCCAGCAAGCACGACTGGTATATCACCCCATTCATGAGATAGCCTCTGGGCACTCTCAAGAAAGAGTCTAACCTATTACATTAAAAAATAAGTTGCAAGAATCAATTAATCCATAACAGCTATAACCAACTTTATTGAAACTTTCCCTGATAAAATATTAATAACTTATTTAAAATTTTCTCATAGTTCGAGATTGAACTACAGGAACATTGTCTATTCCGAATAAGTCTAGGTAAAACTTCTTGATCAGAAAAACAATAAGTCTAGATAACTTTTTTCATGTTAACCCACAAACAGCCACATTCTCTTCATTATCCGCATTTCATGTCAACAGATTATTTCTAGTTCTTTGAAACTTTATCACTACAGAATCACCCTTTCAAACCAGTTTAAGATTTAGTTAATGAAATTTAAATTTCACATGAAGAGTGAATAAGTATAGAACAACTAACGTTTAAGCAAAATAAACAAGGGAAGTGCTATGCAAGCTTTAAGAATCCAACTGGAGACACTCCTTACAAAAATAAATAGAGAGAGAGATGCTATAGGACAGATAAAATTGTTGGTCCTGGAACCAAATTCAGTGACACAGTCACACCACTAGTCTTTGTTAAGGAGGCAGATGTAAACATGCATCAGGTAAAGCGAAGACGCTTTCGTAAGGAATTGAAGAATTAAACCCCAAGCAGAATTAATCCTGCTTTATTCAAATTAAATGGAAAAAAACTTCCAAGCATAAAACAGTCGAAATACCATTCAGTCCTACATGCCTAAACAAAATGATAGTTTTGTTTGGAAGGGGGGTTTAAGAGGGGTGGAGGGGATGGGATATTGGTGCTGGCAGTAAAATATAAAAAGCTAAGTTAACGGAATATTCATCCAAGTGTTTAGCGACAATACTATTATCCAAAGTACTAAGTTGCTTCATCATAAAATGATTAAACATTAGTTGTTGCTGAAAACTTATACCTGTCCCAACTTGATGTCTCCACGATTGGGGTTGTAGAGTACGTGAATATTGCCAACCAGAAAGCTTGGCGAGGATACACTCCTAACCACAAACATTCGAACAACCATAACATTTGACCAGAATTGAGAAACTGAAACTAAAATTTACATAAACTAAGTAAACACAAAGCATCATACAAAATTCAACATTTGAGAATAACAATTAAATAGAGCAGACTTACTCCGAATTTGAAGCACTCATATCCTTGCTTGAGCTTTTCACATTCATCTAAAAGTTAATGAAAAGAACTACAGATCAAAATAGATACCAGTTGACCATTAGAGTAAACAACTCTTTGCGACCATCTTGTAGTGTGCAGGGGAAATAAGAGCAGGCTTGCATGATACTCTAAGAAATTTCATATAACATCCATGTCCAGAACAGAGATGATGAAGCGATATACCCTGTCATGTCATAACATGTGTAGAGTGCATGCATGTCATGACACCACACCATTATTCTTAGCAAGGAGGGGGCATTTTGGGGAGGGTTGAGTCCGTTGACTAAAGGAATCTAACAATGGAGCCACCACTGAGATTAGAAGCCTATTTCTTTAAGTAAGATTAAAAATGCCTGATAAGATGAAGATGCAGCTGTCTCAAAGAGAGGGT